TCAGCTTCTTCCCCTGGAAGCGGAGTTCCAGAACCAGATGTGTCACCACCATAGCTGACAGATTTGAACCCATCGTTGCCTTGAGGCTCAGCTCTAGCCTGAGGCTGAGGTGGTGTATCCCATTTCCTGTTTACAGCAGGATCTGTTACGTCCACTCAGACACGTTTTGTGTTACAGTTGATGGTTCCTGAGGATGTTTCTTTAGAAAACATGGAACAAAGATACTCATTTAGTTTGGTTCAGGTCTAACTCAGACAGATCCTCAGTGGAGGGCATGGATCACTTCATCTACTTTGGTGGAGTACACACAAACGTCCACTTAATGCAGGTCTGTTTGGCATCTTCTGACACTCTTTGCAGCTGACAGACCCTCTCTCTCTCTCACACACACACACACACACACACACACACACACACAGACCCCTCCTTTCCTCCTTCACGCCTCACTCTTCAGCAGCCTGGAGGCCGAGGTGGAACGTTGGAAGCCAGGTCTCTCTCGGGCTCTGAAGAGGGTCCACCTCCTCTGGGACAGGGACATCCAAAACGCCAAGAGCTTCCTCTCAACCCTCCTGTTCTGCCACTCCTTCTCCTCCTTTTCTCTCCACATCTCCCTCTGTTTGTCCACAATGCTGTTATGTCCTATTGGAGTCTGTCCACTGGATTGAAGTCCCTTCTTCATTTTGATGAGGTCGGTCCAGACTGTGATCTTCTTGTTAACAGGTGTTGAGATGCTGGAAGCTTCTCCAAAGGGGCAAAAGAGGCGTTGTGTGTCTCTCTGTTAGGGTTTCCCTCAAATTCTGAAAAGACAGATGACCGACGACAACGTTTTGTTGTGGAGAGGAAGGTGAGGGCAAGTCAGACAGCATGGGTGTTTGAAGGAGGAGGATAAGAGACACTTTTCCTCTTCAGCCAAGTGGACCCCACTATATGAGTGCTCTTTCCCTCCTGGTTCCTTTGGAAACTACTTCAGAGGATACTGCAGCTGTACTCTCTTTTGTTTGATAGCTCCTCCTCTCCCTGCAGCTCGACGTCCTTGCTGAGAGCTGCTGACGCACTCCGAGCAGCAGGTGCTGTACCTGTCGCCGACACGTGGTGCTGCTGCTGTTTGGGAAGGACACTGTTTATCCTGCTTGATTGGAGGGAGGGACACACACACAGCCCCTATCTGTTATCCCTTTGTCCAAGATCAGCAGTATTTCTTATATACCCTTCTGCCACTTCAGGTGCAACAGGACAATGAAAGGTAAACTAGTTCTGACAACTTGAATCCATTTCTGACATTTGCCCACTCTTTTGTTTATACTACACTGCAACAGTGTGTAATGTTGGATGTAACTCACAAAAAGCCTGTGCAGAATGCTCAGCAGGAGCCCTTTCTAAAACTCCTCACAGACAGACACGAGGACAGTGACTCAGCTGAAAATTGTCCTTGAGACAGGACTCTTCTCACTGCAGCTCCACCTTCTGACTGAACAGACAGACACAGCTCATAAATACAGACAATAACACACCACATATGATAGTAGCCAACCTTTTGTTTTTAACCAATTGTCATATTTCAACCACAAACTACAATCTACTGTATTTTATTGAGATCTTTTGTGATAAACCAGCATGCCAGTAGACATGTAGTGCATAATAGTAGAGTAGAAAAGGAAAGATACATGGTTTAAAACATTTTTTATAAATACAAATCTGAAAAATATGCCATGCATCTATATTCAACCTCCTTTTTTCTGACATCCCTACATAAAACCCAGTGCAACCAGTTACACTTAGAGGTTAGATGTCACTATGATGAGAAAATAGTCAGTCTGTATAATTTTTTCTCTGCAGTGGTTGTTCTTGATATGGGCTGTTTGGCAGTTGCCCAGGGTGGCGTTTGAAAGAGGGGTGCATGAGCACCATATAAACCTGCAACTTATTTATCTGTCAGTTGTGCCCTGAACTAGTTTGCTATTGCTTGGATGCAACAGAAAACTGCGAGTGTGAGACCTGCCTCTGCATCTTGTTGCAAATTATCTGAGAATGGAAGGAGTGAGGTTCTAGCCAAGCTGAAAGGTGGGGCAACAGAGGCTTTAGCAAGAGAAGCAGACAAGAGTCTCACAGCAACTCTGGAGAGGCTGCAGAGATCCACAGCTTAGGTAGGAACATCTGTAAACAGGACAACTATCAGATGTTCACTGCACAAATCTGGCCTTTATGGAAGAGTGGCACGAAGAAAGCCAATCCTGAAAGAAGGCCTTTATAAGTGTGCTGTTTGCAGCAAGCCTTATAGTGGGCATAGTAAACATGAGGAAGAAGGTTCTCTACTTAGACCTAACTGTTGCAGTTTGGACCTGTCCTGTTTTGTGGATGTGCCAAACCACACTGAGATGGACGAACATGCGACAGACTGAATAATGGCAGTGTAGAAGGTGACCAGCAGCTCCTGTGAAAGGTTGTACTTGAGTTGCCACAGGGAGTAGAGTCTCTGTTTGGCCTTCTTCCAAGCAGTGTCTATGTTTGAGGACCATAACAGGTCCCGAGAAAGGGTGATTGCTAGGAACCTGAAGTGATCTGCAGCAGACACACCATTGTTGAGGATGATGAGGGGAGGCAGTGAGTGAGATGTTCTCTGGAAGTCTGCTGTCATCTTCACTGTCTTGAGCGGATTAAGCTCCAGGTGGTTCTGACCTCACCGGAGGACCAGCCGATCCCCTTCCTGTCTCTATGCAGACTCATCATTGTCCTGGATCAGACCAATAACAGTGGAGTCATCTGCAAACTTCAGGAGATTTTACAGATGGTTCGACTGAGGTGGAGTCTTTTAGGTAAAGAGAGAAGAGGACTGGGAAGAGAGTCCCCCTGGGGGCGCCATTGCTGATGGTTCTTGTGTGGGAGAAGATGCTCCCCAGCCTCACCTGCTGCTGCCAGTCATTCAGGAAGCTGGTGATCCACTGGCAGGTGGAGGCCGGCACTGTGAGCTGAGTGAACATCTGGTGGAGGATGTCTGGGTTGATGGTGTTGAAGGCCGGGATTCACAACAAACCTCGTCTTAGAGAACTGTACAAAACAAACAATCCAATCTCTATCCAGAAATATTTCATGAATTCAATCCAATAAATTCATTGTTTTTAATCGGTAGGCCTTTCATATTCTTTTATCATCTCTGGAAAGATTTTCTCATTTTCCAGAACCAAACTCCTGGGTTGAATGAATTATAATGACTTTTTGGAAAGCAGGAAAAGATGAAGAGACATAGATGAACAGGGAACAAAAGAATCCGGTGAGGAGATGAGAGAGCCTTAGAGTCTTTGAAACTACTGGGAGAGTTGAAGAGTGGTATGAGACCTAAGTACAATTAGCCAATTGAATATGATGCAACCGGGGAAGAAGCAGATCAGGAAAAACTGAGGGAAGGTGACTAATAAACACAGAAAGAACAGAGGGAGCTGAACAAAAAACACAAACTGATCTACTAAAAACTAAAATAAGAGTCTGAACCAAATACACAAAGAACAAATCATAAGAAAGAACCAACAAACTCAACACAAAGAAATTAACCTGTATGGAAAGACCTTAATGACAATAATAAACAACCCAAAAAGATCCAATGTGAAATATAAGTGAGAACCAAAAACACATAAAGCTGTGGATCATGATGCTTAGTTTGAGGGACATCTTTGTTTACATCCTACCTACCCAGGTACTTTATAGGTTCAAATTTCATATAAAGATTAGTGTCCACATAAACTTGACACAAAATATTGCTGCATATTTTTACATTTTGATTGTTTACTGAAATAGCAAAAAAATCATAAAACTCGGATTTTTGATTTTCTTGAACTTGTATTCAATAGTTGGAAATAACTTTTTTGGGGTCTTCAATGGCCATCTTTATGGAAAACAAAACGAAATCAAAACTTTGACCTCCTAACAGTACAAAAGGATGTTTACCATGATGCTACCTTACCCTCCTTTTTAGCTAGAACCTTTAATGCTTCTGGAACGGATGGAAGCTGTTTTAGGTTGCCAAGAGTCTACTAATACTAGATTATAGTTGCAACATGTCATGGATGTTGTCTCGAAATACCAGCTCTACCTTATCTTTGAAATGTGTTTATTTATTGCCAAGGGTCAGGGTTACCTCACAGAACCTGCTCGGTCATCATGACCTCCACACCTGTAGCACAGATTAAAACCAGAAAACATTGCACATGTGCTCAGATTTCATGCATGCTACTGGAAATGTTAATTCATTTTAACTCAGGAAATTACCAGTTCCATTTTTGGACACGAAAGAACTAAGAAAATAGAAGGCCACAAAGTGCTTTTTGTTATAAATAAAACCCATTCGGTGTTTTCTGGATCTCTCTGATTCCCCTTGTGTCTGTACTAAAATTTGGCTACTGTGTCACCAACCTGCACGTGGTCCAACAGTATTCCGGCTGTCAGCATACCCTGCCCGGCCAGGAGGTAGGAAGGCAGAACTTGAAGGCACATCGTCCAGGATGACTCTCCACAGGAAAGGTGGAGCCTCTCTTTTCTCATCTTGTCAGGACAGGGCAGCAGTGCTGCTGAGATTCGTGACTTACGGTAAAACTACCTGTCTTCAGTCCTCTCACTCCCATCTGGAGCCAAAAGGCCCCAACTTTGTTTGTCTTTCAGCCTGCCCCCCTGCCCTCTAGTGCTCAGCGAGTTAACAATCAGCTACTTACTGCTGATATCTGAGGATCTGTCTGGACATCTGCAGCTGTAGATACTGTATACACTGTTTTATCTTCTCACCGCTCCTCTTTTACAGTATTTGAGGTCCCTGATGTGATCAGTTGTAATTAGCTCCCCAAATTTCTCAGAAACACAGTGCCTTGTACAAATATTTATTCCCCGTGAGTTGTACTACATTCCTTCACCTTGGAACCACAACCTTCAGTCTGTTGTAGTTGGATGTTATGTGATAGTCCAACACATAGTGGTAAATAACTGTGAAGTAGAATGAAAATGATACATGGGCTGAGGCGCTGGTGGTGTAGTGGTTAAGCGCACAACCATGTGCAGAGGCTATAGTCCTCGATGCGGCTGTCCTGGGTTCAAGTTCTGATCCCAGTGAGCTTTGCTGAATGTCCTTTCCTGTCTACCTACTGTAGAAAAATAAAGGCCTCTAGTGTCACAAAAAAATATTTAAAAGAAAATGATACATGGTGTTTTCCAAATAAAAATCTGAAGTGTGCATTTGTTTTCAGTCAAAACTAAGTGAACATCCAGAACCTCCTTTTGCTGCAGTTGCAGCTGCAAGGCTTTACTGGGTATGGCTCCACCAGCTCTGTGCATCTGGAGACTCAAATAATTACCCAGCCTTCTCTGCATTCTCTGCACCCTTAGCTCAAGCGCAGTCAAATTGAATGGAGATAATCTGTAAACATCAGCTTTAAGTTCTTGCCAAAGATTCTCAGAAGCTGTGGACTTTGGATTATTTCAACACAAATACAGTTTAATCTGAACTCTTGCATTTCAGCTCTGGTTGTAAATGTGGGGCTGGTGTTTTGCTGGAAGTTGAACCTTCCCCCCTAGTCTTTCTCTCAACAACTTTCTTGTCCAGTTTACATTAAATCATCCCACCACATGATGCTGCCACCACTGTGTTTTATGGTGAGTATGGTGTTCAAGTGGATATGCAGAGTTAATTTTGCATCTTACATGGTGTTTTACTAGCATAGTTCAGTTTTGGTCTCATCTGACAAGATCACTTTTTTCAACATGTTGAGTGTATCCCCCTTCATGCTTGTGACGAACTGCAAACAGGATATCTTATGGCTTTTCTTTCAACAAATGCTTTCTTATTGCAACTCTTCAATAAAGGCCAGATTCATGGACTGCACAACTGTTAACAGATTTCCCACCTAAGCTGTGGATTTCTGCAGCTCCTACAGAGTTACCATAGGCCTCTTGACTAGTTTTCAGATTCCTGCTCTTCATGCCTGGCTTGCCTCCACTGGATGCACTGGATTTTCAGACAGTGAACCGAACAGAGCTCCATGAGGTGTTTGGGATATTGTTTTATACCCTAACCCTGCCTTAAACCCCCCAACAACATTCGCCCTGACCTGTTGTGTTTCTTGGTCTTTATGATGTTTCTTCAATAATTGTCCTCTGAGGCCTTCACATAATATATAGATTAATACTGAGCTTAAATTGCACACAAACTTTGGTTACTAATGAATTGACCTCTGATGGCAATTGGTTGTGGCAGGTTTTATTTCGAGCTATCAGAGTAAAGAGGGTTTTACACAAATGCACATAAACCTTTAAAAGAAATGGCCTGCACTTGTACAGCACTTTATCAAGTCCCCAGAGACCTCGAAGCACTTTACCCTACAATGAGTCATTCACACACTGACAGTAGAGGACTACATTGTAGCCACAGCTGCCCTTGGGCAGACTAACAGAAGTGAGGCTGTCATACACAAAGCCCTCTGACCACCATCAGCAGGCAAGGAGGGTGAAGTATCTTGCTCAAGGACACAACAACTGAGACAGACAGAGCGGGGGGTCAAACCAGAAACCCACTGGTTACAGGACAAACCTCTACCACCGTCGCCAGGTATCGTAATTTGTGGTTATGATGCCTTCACAAAGCACGGTATGTTTTAACCATTCAATCTGTGAAAGAAAATCATACAAAGGAAACAGATCCTGATGTTGAATTTTAGAAATGTAAATAAAAGAATTACTACATTAAAGTTTATTAGAGTATTTCAGGAAGTCACAGTTTTTCCTTTCTCTGACTGTATAATCAGAAACACTATGCTTCAAACCCTTTAACTCTGATTTGAGTAACGATAAAAAAACATGAAAGGCCTCTTCATAGTTCAGAGACACCGCCCAGCTGCTATAAATATTCACTGTAGACCTCAGCCCCAGTTCAGGTCTCATGTTATATGTCAAACACTGAGCTCAAACAAGAAGGGGCCACAGATTAGTTTGACTTCCTGTTGTTAGAGGCAGCGCTGGTGTATTTGTTGCTAAACGGTGAGGAATTCTGCGTCTTTCTTCAGGGTCTTCTGTTCTTAGTGCTTCGTGGGAGCTTCACTGACGTTTTACGTAAGATGTTGCATTCCGCCTTGAGTAGGGTTCCACTGGCATGTGCTGGCAGAGGTCATCTCCTCCTAAATGTCATGTGGCTCTAGCTGGGATCAAAGCAACTGCAAAATATCAACAAGGTCACACAGAAGACAGCAGCTCAACAACAGGACACAACTGTGAAGGTCTGGTTCTTCCTCAACATATTTAGCATGTGGCAACGTTTGCATTATTTGCAAAAAAATATTGAAAACTATGTGTAAAAAAATACATAAATGATTGGGCTATGTTTTTATTTTTAGGTGAATTCAAAGTGAAAATGTCAGGATCGGCTGATGAGAGGAACTAGACAAAAGCACTGGTCATGGCTGACCACAGCAGGGTGACTACAACAATCAGACTGCGAGATATATATGATCCAAAGCCTCAACCTCCAAAAGCCCCCGTTCGGATCCGTCCACTGTCTCCAAGACCCACCTCTGTGAAGGAACAAGGTCTGAAGCAAACCTTCTCCAGCAATACCGCCACCAAGCCCATCCAGAGGAAAAGGGCCCAGTCTCTGTCTTTGGCTTCAGAAAAGAAGAGAGAGCCTAGGAGGGTCCAGGTACGCTTTGTGGATGCACTGGGCCTTGATTTAGAGGAGGTGAAGGTCTTTAGAGTCCAGGAGGACCCCCTGATACCCCAACATGTGATGTTCAGGCTGCTGATGAGCTCCGAACTGGCTTTTGGAAAGTCACCTGAGCTGAACCTGCCTTACTTCAGACCCTGTTTCCCTGAACACATGGGGGCCAACTCAAACTTCCAGAACTGTCTCCGCTCCCAGGAGTTCTCTCTGGAGCAGATGATGTGCTCAGACCAGGGCATAACAGGCACCGTACATGTACTTAATTTAGATTATGAGAAAGAGGTCAGGGTACACTACTCTTTCACTAACTGGACAACACACACACACAACAGCATTCTGGGTATCAGGTGGGCACCCTGGTGACTGCGGCGCTCCGGGCACGGATATCTTCAGGTTTTGTCTGCCTGTCCCGCCCTTCATCCTGCGGCCAGGAGCCATCCTGAAATTTGCCATCTGCTACAATGTTAACAGATGTGACTTCTGGGATAACAACGATGGCAACAATTACAGACTTGCATGGCACAGCTACAAGGTGACTGTGCCAAGGGAGTGCGAGGACAACATGCTGCATTTCACCGGAGCGGCCACATGAGGGAGCTTTAACTCCTGTTAATGGATGTGGGTGAACATGTAAAACCTTCACATGAACTCCTACCTTTGAATTCAATGCTGGAAAGTTACTCAGTTCATTTGGACCATTTATGTTCCCCGCAGACCAGAACAGACCTATACAGCAAATGTTCTATTATCAGCATATAAGAAACCTTTTACTGCACCTATTTTGTATTGAGTGGAAATCAATAACACATATTTACAAGTTAGAAATAATTTATTTATTCTAGATCTTCCATGCTTATGTGTCAGTAGAGCCATAAAGATTATTGATGAGAATATTTATTTACTTTTTGAGTACTTTGTACTGCCCTAAGAAAATAAAAACTAAGCCAAGGGGCCCATTATAACTCCAAGGAGAAGCTATTGAGATCCACAGTTCAGTGGTGCTTCTTGCATGAAAAGTGCCCTGGGCAGGAGCCCCTTCTTCTGCACCTCCCAACTACTTCAAATGAGAAAAATAGAATTTAGGGTAGGATAAAATGCAGCACAACCCTACCTAAAGCATGTAAAGTAGTGTCACTATTCTCAGCAGCAAGCAGTGGACTATTTAACACACAGGGATACTAACTCCCCATTGACTGCACATGCAGAAAAGTAATAGAAAACTTGTTCAGGGCACGGTTCAATATTTTTTTACCTGGAGCAAATGTGCCTGCTTTTTAATGCTGCCATGGGCAAATGCCCATACAGCACAAAAAACACCACTGCTGTTGACAGGAAAGGTGGAGGATCACCTTACAGCAAGACAACCCTAAACATACTGCCAATGCAACACTGGGACAATATACGTCCCAGTTAAAGTCCAGATATAAATCCAAATGAGAATTTGTGGCAAGACCTAAGAGTTGTTTACAAAACAAAACAAAGATATATATATATATATATAGCTATAATTGCAGCAAAAGATGGTTTTACAAACTATCAACTCAGTGGGCTTAATACAAATGCAAGGCACACTTCTCAGCTTGTTTTCAGTTTAAAGAAAATTGTTTTCTTTCTACTTCTCAATTATGCACTATTTTTTATTGATCTATCCCATAAAATCCCATAAATAAAATACACCAAGATAAAATATATTGGAGGGGTAATTCCATTGTTTCCAGATCAACAAGCCACTGTGGCTCTGTAGGTATATTTTTTACGCAAGCAAAAGAAGTCCAATGTCCAAAAACTTTCAAAAGTTGCATTTAACAGTATATTTACCCAGACTGGCAAGCAATAAACAAGGATCCATTTTTGTTTGTCCCCTCCTGCTTCTCCTCCTCTGGTAAAAAAAAACATTGGCCCACCCCAGTGCATGCTGGTCCTATACTAGTTCCTTTACCTATAGGAAATGGCCCAACAGCTCTTTCTAGCTGACTTGCAAAAGCAAATAACCAAAGAGAACAAACATTTAAATAATCATTTACCTACACAGAACTCCAATGAATAACCCAAAAATGAAATCCAAAATAACCCCAGAGCTAACATTAACTATATTCATGATAACAAAGACTAATAAAGCTGCGAGCAGCCTTGAAGGCCCTCGCACCTCAGCGCAACTCAGCCTGAGCAGCGACCGTGGGAGCCTGGCATCGCCGGCTGCAAGCCACCAACGAGGCCGACGTTCAATTTCAAATGTCGCCTCTAGGTGGCGCTGTGATATCATGATCTTCACTCATGCAGAATTCTGGTCTGGAAGCATTCAAAATTTGGGGGAAATCCGACCTTCCAGATGGAAGCTGCACTCATTTGTTTATTAGTGGGTGGGGCTGAAATGATGTCATAAACTGACTGTGGCAACATGTTCAGCATTGAT